CCAATGTTCCTTCAGATTGGTTTGTGGTCAAATTGTGTCATGTGTTGTTTCCTCAACTAGTCACTGGCAAAATGAATATAATGACCATGGGTGGCCTTAGGCCAGTAGCTCTCACTTCTGTTATACCTGAAAGCACCTTTTTTATAATAGATACTTTGTGTTGCCTTTTTGCCATCCCAAAATGAAATTCATAGAAAGTATAATATACCTACATACACGAATTTTTCAAAAAATCAGTATGTTGCTCTAAGTGAAATACTAAGGAGAAATAAAAGGAAAGTAATGTGTAACAAAATATTATAGTATGTATCTCAGTACGTAAGTGAAGAATTTTGACCTGAATAAAAATATGTACTCATTGTATTTTTTCCAGCTGCAAGCCTTCCAACCATTTTTCATTTTTCTGAATCTTCCCTATTCTGTTATAAGAGGTGAAGAATTTGCTTTGGAAATAACCATATTCAATTATTTGAAAGATGCCGCTGAGGTAATATATTCAAGGTCTTGTTGATCATTTACTCTATAGGAGAAAATGGAGATCACATGCAGGGATTGGGTTGTGTAGTGTCTGAGCATCTGGCCTTCTAAGCATTTTATACATTTCTGGGAGATTGAAAATAGACATATTTTCATCAATGATTTCCTCTGCTAATTACTGTCTAAGGATATCCTTAGTGTGTCTGAGCATTCTTTCCTTAATTTAGCCATGTATCTTTTTTATTGTCTCTGAGGCATGCCTTTCTCTTTCTTGCCTTCCTGCATTTTCCTGTGGGCTTCACACATTTAGTTGTGTTGCCATTTCTCACTGCCATTCTGTGTCTGCTGCAGTTGACAAGAAGTTATTCCCTTCACCATCTGGCTTGAAACTAAGTTGCCTTTCCTGAAGCATCTCACCCATTCTGTAATGATTCTGTAGGCCCCATGTTTACATGTACATTAAATTTTCCAGGGTTTACTTTTCTTTTTTTTTTAGAGACAGGCTCTGGCTCTGTCGCCCAGGCTAGAGTGCAATGGCATGGTCATGGCTCTCTGCAGCCTCAAATTCCTGGGCTCAAGTGATCCTCCTGCCTCAGCCTCCTGAGTAGTAAGGACTATAGGTGTGTGCCACCATGCCTGGCTATTTTTAAAAACTTTTTTTGTGGAGATGGAGTCTCGCTATGTTGCCCAGCCTGGTCTTGAACTCTTGGCCTCAAGGGATCCTCCCACCTTGGCCTCCCAAAGTGCTAGGATTATAGGCGTGAGCCACCACTTCCAGCCAGATTTACCTTTTGAGTTATATACCTTGTGTCTCCTTGGCTAGTCATTTCCCTGGCAGGCACGATACAATTCCCACTGTATTGTGCCCACAGTAGATTGATTCTTTTTCCCCCAGAATAAGTATGGATTTGTATTATAATTAACTTTATACCTCTTTAAAGTACTCTATCTATAGAGCAAATTGTTTTTTTTATTTTTTAACTTTACTTTTTAATCTAGTCATCATGGTACAGTGTAACAAGCAAAAGAGTCAGAAGGCCCAGATTCAATGTCCAGTCTACCACTTACCAGCAAATAACTTATTATAATTGTAGTTTTCTCATTGGTGAAATGGGAATCATAATTATCTCTACAAAAAATATTTTGAGAAGCAGATGAGAAAATAAATGGGAAAACAATTCATAAAATGTAAGGCCTAGAGAAATGCTATTCTTGATGAGGCTGGCAACTTTGGGATAATTTACAAAAGTTTACAACCAAGATATGCTTCAGGACTAATGTCTGAGTCATGCTTTCCTTGGAATAATTTTTTCAGAGACTCTCAGTGAATGTACTAATATTTTATGCTGTTTGTCCCATATTTTTATAATGGGACCAGTGTGTCCTAGGATGACAGAGTTAAATGAGGGTGGTGGCGATACCGGGATACGAAATAGTGTTTCTGTGCACATCCTTACCACTTAATGGCTTCAGATAATGAGAGAATTTCATGTTAGTGGGAGCACTAGAAATGGAGCTAAAGAAGGCCCTTTCCCCCACCCCTTGAGGTAGAGGGAGAAAGCATAGAAAAGAAATGCTTTCTTTCTAGGGAGTCTTGAGCCTCACAGATTTAGCAGCACTTAGGGTGGTGATAAAACAACACTTTACTGGAGAGAATTTATTATATAAAACCTTTGATATTTTTTTCTTCTAGGTTAAAGTGATCATTGAGAAAAGTGACAAATTTGATATTCTAATGACTTCGAATGAAATAAATGCCACGGGACACCAGCAAACCATTCTGGTTCCCAGTGAGGATGGGGCAACTGTTCTTTTCCCCATCAAGCCAACACATCTGGGAGAAATCCCTATCATAGTCTCAGCTGTTTCACCCACTGCTTCTGATGCTATCACCCAGAGGATTTTAGTAAAGGTACATATTTGAAGTCTTAAATAAGTGAAATGGAAATACGTATTTGGAAGGAAACAGAAGTGTTTTCTCTTGGTTAAATTTATTGACAAATCTAGTAGGTTGTCTCCTCCACCCTCCTTTCAGTGCCTAATTGTTTTCTTATCTGTATGTAAACATATATTACATATGTGTTTTAGAAATAATTGCCAATTTCCTCTTTAATCAGAAGCATGACTATAAAGACTATGAAATCTCTTTTATAGTCATTTACATCTACAAACTGTGTTACATTGGATCCTATTAAATCATGGTCAAGGTGATATGTGTATTTGGAATGCTGGAATTTCACAGTGCAGGTAGAAGAGATTTTGTAGATATTTTTTCAGAGGAGACATTCTGTACAAAAAGATAACTCAGCACAGTGGGTAAGCACTTGTGTTCTGGGGTGAGACGGCGCTGGGCTTGAATCCCAGATCTGCCAAGTATGACTTTGGTAAAGGTATTTAATTCCTGTCTTTGGATAATAATAGGAACTGCCTTGGCGGGTTTTTCTCATTACATTTTCACCTTTTCCTTTGTTATTTTCATGGTCATTCCATGATGTGTTTTGTCTAATTTAACTAGAAAGTAAACATTAATAGATTTGAAGAATCAAGAAATGGTAGGTACTTAAATATGTCATCAGATTTAATTTAGTTCCATGGAAACAGTGCCAATTAAGTTCGGATCCTGTTGAAAAGCACATTTCAGTTAATGCAGGGTACTGTATTTAGTGAGAAAATCTGAAAGTAGAAAAAAAGGAATCAAAGTTATGGCAATTTGTGGTAACACAAACTGAAAGGAAAAACTCATTCTGTGAAATAAATGTTTACATTGTTTAAATAAAATACCTAATTTAAGGAAAAAAAAAGAAGAAATGGTAGGTACTTACCTGGGCATACACAAACCATAGGTATAATAGGTCGGATGTTTGTCTTCATGTGTACACACAGTTCTCTGTAAATAGATGAGTAGAGACCATGTTCTTTGTGTTCCTTTTTTTCAACAGGCTGAAGGAATAGAAAAATCGTATTCACAATCCATCTTATTAGACTTAACTGACAAGCTACAAAGTACCCTGAAAACTTTGAGTTTCTCATTTCCTCCTGACACAGTGACTGGTAGTGAAAGAGTTCAGATCACCGCAATTGGTAAGGTTAGATTATGTTACCATCTGTTGGTTTATCTGTGTATGATAGTATATATTGTTCAGTTATTTGTAGATGTAATTTCTTATTTGGTCCTAATGAGAAGAGATTGCAAGAATTTTTAGTTGGTCCCAACTACTGATTACAATACAAAAGCTAGCAAATTACATATCCTCCACCAGTTCTTCTCAGTCTTTAAAGTACATGTGAATCACCTGGGGATCTTGTTTAAAAGCAAATTGTGATTTAGTAGGTGTGGGGCAGGGCCTTGGATTCTGCATTTCTAACAAGTTCCCAGGTGACGGTGATGCTCATTGTAGACCACACTTTGAGTAGCAAGGCCTCACTACCCTGTGGCTGGAGGGAGAGGTTATTTTGAGAACAAAGTTTCTGGATTCTGTGGCTTTTTACCACTGGTGAATATCAGAAACTTCTAAGGAAATTTGTAAAAACACAAGTATCTGGGCTCTATCTAAACCTACTAAGTCAGAATTTCTTGGGCTATGGCTAAGTTTCACCAGTGATTCTGATAACCAAAAGTTGAGAACTACTGCCTCTGCCTAGAGCAGTTCTCTGCAGGATACGAGTAACCTTTACGGTAGGAAGCTACTCACTGACTTTAGTCACTTCCATAACTTAAAAGTGCTTTTAAAAAAATTGACAATTTTTAATTGTATGAATTTATGGAGTACAATGTGATGTTTGATTTATGAATACAATGTGGAATACATAAATCAAACTGGTTAACATATCTATCACCTTAAATACTTAACATTTTTTTGTGATGAGAGTGTTTGAAATTTACTCTTAGCAAATTTGAAATGTACAATACTCTTATTACTAACTATATTCACCGTGCCAAAAGTACTTTTGAATTAAATATAGCTTGTACACAAATAGTGTATTAGTCAGGGTTCTTCAGAGAAACAG